AGAATTTAAATGTATTTTTAAATTAAAGTTAAGTATTTAATTAATACTATCCGCACATGATCCATTCATATAATACGCCAAAATATGGCTGATATATTGCTGACTCGGCGTAGAAATGAATCCATTCATGATTCGGAGAACATTCGGTCAATCAACATAATTTAAAAACTACTAGTTCAAGAGCAAGTACAAAACACAAGTAGAGGAAGCACCTTTTACGGATACTTTCTTTTAAACCAAACTTGTCTTAACGCACACCCTAAGTCTGTTCAGTACTTTCTGTTTTTGTTATCTTGGAGCAAAATAAAAAACAACAACATTTTTTCACTTCATCCTTTTAATTGCAGACCAAAGGGGACGGACAAATCCCATCTCCATTATGACTACAATACTAAAGAACACCAGTGCTTTGCTGTCAAGAGTAAGCAATATTTCCAGGGAGGTCCCTAATATATTTCTCAATCCATTTCAAGCAATGTACTGAATGCCGTGAGGTTTGACAGAAGTGGGGCTAAACATGATCGGTTTAGGTTTTTCTTCCTCGTCATCCTCTGTGTCCACAAAGTCAGCCTTGTTTCTGATGCAGCAAGTCCACAGCACGCAGATCAGCGCCATTATTACACCAAACGTACCCAACCCCACGGCGATCCCGATAATACCGAACCGAGCAGGAGGCACCGACTCCTCAAACGTCTGCAATGATAAAATGATTTAACGTTTCATACGAAGTCATACATTTAGGGTGATCTGAATAGACATCGAACTCGAGTATACAGTCGTACAATTTGCTTAAAGGACCCTAAAATCTCGGTAGTGGAAATAAGCGGTGTCAAAAGCTCAGCTCTCTCTTTAATTTCATGAATGATGATCAATTAATGATTGTGTCCTATAGGATCAGTTTCATAATATAAGACTTAATTCATTGACGGGCTCAAACTATAAACGGAATAAATACTTCTTCCTACATTGTTATCACAAACGGCGGACGGAATCAATTTTAATGTCGGCAAAATATAGATTATTATTCATTCATCAGTAATACGATACCTTTCCATTTTTCCCTATGGCCTTTCCATCTTGACTGTACTCGACGAACCACCATGGTTTGGTGGTGGTGGGTGGTTCTGTATTCGAGGTGGTAGGGGGAGAAGTGGTGGTGGTAGTGGTAATAGTTGTAGTGGTGGTAGGAGTAGGAGTGGTGGTGGTGGTAGTGGTGGTGGTAGTAGGAGTGGTACTTTGTATTGTAAATTGATCTAAGGAATAAACGGTCTTTAATGGGTTTGATACGATAACATACTTCTGCATTTTCACAGTTATTGTAATCCTACCTACGTTAGGCTACGTATCAAACTTCCAACATACTAAGAAAAAGATTTCTATATATTTATCTGTGACTTTCCGCCAAATGCAACGACTATATAATCAAAGTAATGAAAAGCAATAAGCATAAGTGGCAGTCTCCATTAAGACCAGTGAGACGTTCGCTCTCTTTATTGCGCCACACAATTGATAATTTAACGAACAAAAAAATGTTTCAATATGGATAAATATTGTACAGTATGTTTTTTTCCTGATGGTGAATACTTTAGCATAATGTTCTATCAATTCCATCATGATAAATGATTAACCTTTTGAATGACCATTTTAAGCTGTATTATTACCTTAAGATCAAATTGAAAAGCAAGAGGCCCATGGGCCACATCGCTCACCTGACTAACTTTGGCTGTTCTTTCATTTAGTAGATTTCCCGCTTTGTAATACCTATCTTGACCTTGACAATCTAAATTGGTCATGATTCAAACAACTTAGAATCTACACTACCCCAGAATACTTCCACACAAGTTTCAGCTTTTTTAGTCCAATTGTTCTTGAGAAGAAGATTCCCTATTGTTCTTGAGAAGAAGATTCCCTATTGTGGCCCCGCCCTTCCCCCGGGGGTCATGATTTGAACAATTTAGAATCTATACTACCTCAGGATGCTTCCAAATAAGTTTCAGCTTTTCTGGCCCAGTGGTTCTTGAGAAAAAATTTTAATGATCGACCCTGATAATGATAAATTTGCTTACAAGGTCAAAATTGTATCGACAATGGAACTTACGAAATGATGACTTTAAACGAGGTTGCTGATATTCTTGTTTCATAAACATGTTTGTCAATAATTTACCTCGTTTTAGAAATTATTCATATGTAGAGCATGTTCTCGCGTATCGAATCAACTGAAGTACATAGACTCTGTATGCAGGTGATGAAGGCATATTGCTGTATAAGTAAGGGAAGTTGACGATAGAAAAGTTAAAATCATCACGTTTATCATATAGCTTGGGTGTAAGATTACCATAAACGTCTTTTTCAAGTAAAATATCCAAGTATGAAACAGATATGTCAGACTTTGTGGTATCTTTATCCCAAGCTCACCAGAATGTCGTATCGACAGAAGAATGGAAATGAAAAATTGTTAATTGACAATACGTCGTCGATATATCTAAATGTCGAGTTGAAGGTCGAGCGAGACATTAAACAACAAACAAACAATGTACAATTCAACTAGTGCTAATTGTAACGGGGACCGTTACAGATGTTCCCCAAACGCTCCCCAACTCTCTTTTTGTGCCGTATTACCTGTAAGCTTCATTAAATAAGACAAACTCTATGTTTTTGAGACTTTAACATTTACCTGGAAGTGTACGAAGTTCATTCAAATTTTAGCATTGCATGCGTGCGCATGCGAATGCCTGTGCGTAATGACCATATCATTTTGTCTACACAATCCATATATTTTAATAAGCTAAAAATTAAAGTATTTAATCCAAAAGTAATAAAAATACGCTCGTTCAAGTGTGTTTTTGATTTTGTTCATTTCACGTGCACGCACGTGCATACATGAGCACGGTGACCATACCTTCTTGTAGAAGATCATTACATCTATCTATGTTCTAAATCCCACCCCATATGGTTGAAAACCAAGGGCGTTATACCTGTTAAAAGTTTCAGCAAATTAGATTGCAGCGCACGTACACGCACGTGCGCATGTGCATGGTGACCATACCTTCTTGTAGTGGTTCATAATATCTATCTATATTTCAAATCCCATCGTCTTTGGTTGAAATCCAAATGAGTTATAGCTATTTAAAGTTTAAGCCAATCAGATTGCAGCGCACCTGCATGCACGTGTTTTCATGATAATTGCTATATATCATATTGTAGGATATCCTAATGCATGGCTATAATCAAAATTTCAAAGCATTTCGTCAAAAGACAAAAAAGATATTGAGATTTTTGTTTCAGCCAATCAGAGTGCAGCGCACGTGCATGCGCGTGAGATCTTGCTATTTTGACCATGTCATATTGTCTATACTTCTAATGTATCCTTATATTATGAGTTCTAAAGCATTTCATCAAAAATTTTAAAAGTTACATCTATATCAATGTAATCGGTCATTTATCATGTTGCACGTGCGCGCTCTTGCAAGCACGTGCGCGCAAAATGACCTTCGTTCCGCAAATCTACATTACATGTCTACTGACCCTAAAAACATTTCACCTTAGTCTGATGTGTAGTTTACAAGATCACTCGCGGACAAAAAAGTACCCAGGAAGAAAAATAAGAATAACTAGAGCCGAGCTCGTTGCAAAGCAACGAGTAGGTCTTCCGTCCTGTTTGACAGGAAGTAGCTTTCATTTTTAACAAAAATGAGAAATAACGCCTAAAAATGGTTTGAATCCTTTAAAGCTATGTTTATTAATGCAAAAATATGCAAATTTTTGCTACTTCCTGTTTAACCGGGAGTGATGACGACGGACGGAAAATTAATTTTTAAGCTCCCAGAGACATATGTTACCAAAAAACTTGACAAGAACGGCAAAATTACGCGTTTTTCGACTACTTCCGGTGTGACGACGCCGGACGTATTTTGACGACACAAAGAGATTAAACTTGATATTTTGAACAACTTTGCTTCTTTGACGTATTAAAAATTCTCAATACTTTTTGAGATATCAATTAAAAACTTTTGGCCCCTCTAGATCCCTTATTTTAGGGGTCAACCCTTTTTTCGAGATATCAATTGAAAGATCTCAAAATTCTTCACAACTTTTGTTCAATATGTTTTAACAAAATATTTACAAGTAAAATGATATTATAGAAAAAGTGTTAGAAATTTTGAAATGCTCAATATGACTTGTTTCAGTCCATGCCGAGCGTTAACGTGCAGTACTTCCGGTGAAAGTTAACAACACAATGCAAATCTACATATGTTGCTCTATCTTCCTGATAAGGTTTCATCTTCCTGTGTTGAGCGGTTTTTAAGAGGAGCGACGGACAAACTGACCCTTAAAAATCACAAAACTGCGAAAATCTCCGAACCGGAAGTGACGTCATCAAAATAAAAAAAAAGGGTATCGAGATTTTTTAATGTTCTATCAGACATGAAAGTTTCATAAAAATCTAACGAGCCGTTTTCGAGAAATCGCGTGCACAAAATCGGTAAGAAAAAAAATAATAAGAAAAACAGTGGAAAAGAAACAAACGAATAACAAGAAGGTCTTCCGCTGAAGACGGAAGACCTTAATAATAACTAGTGCTAATTGTAACGGGGACCGTTACAGATGTTCCCCAAACGCTCCCCAACTCCCTTTTGGTGCCATATTCCATGTAAGCTTCATTAAATAGGACAAAATTTATGCATTTGAGACTTTAATTATCAACGCCAAGTTCATTTAAATTTTAGCATTGCACGCGTGCGCATGTGAATGCATGTGCGTAATGACCATATCATCTTGTCTACATAATTTATAAATTTTAATATACTAAATATTAAAGTATTTAAACCAAAAGTATTAAAACATACGCTCATTCAAGTGTATTTTTGATTTAACTCATTTCACGTGCACGCACGTGCATACATGAGCATGGTGACCATATCTACTTGTAGAAGTCCATTACATCTATCTATGTTCTAAATCCCACCCCGTTTGATTGAAAACCAAGGGAGTTATAGCTGTTTAAAGTTTAATTTCAGCCAATCCGATTACAGCGCATGTACACCCACATGTATGCATGTGCATTGTGGCCATACCTTCTTGTAGAGGTTTATTAAATCTATCTATGTTCCAAATCCCATCCTCTTTTGTTGAAAACTAAGGGAGTTATAGCTATTTAAAGTTTAAGCCAATCAGATTGCAGCGCACGTGCATGCACGTGTTTTCATGATAATTGTTATATATCATGGTGTAGGATATCTTTATGCATGGCTATGTTCAAAATTCCATAAGATTTCTTTGAAAAACAAGAAAGATATAGAGACTTTAGTTTCAGCCAATCAGAGCGAAGCGCACGTGCATGCGCGTAAGATCTTGGTATTTTGGCCATGTCATATTGTCTATGCTACAAATATATCCTTATATTATGAATTTCAAAGCATTTCATTACAAATGTAAAAAGTTACGCCTATATCACTTAAACCGGTTATTTCACGTGTTGCACGCGCGTGCTCTTGCAAACACACATGCATGTACGTGCTTTTATGAAAATTCTTGTTAATCATGCTGTAGATCTTCATAATTTGTGACTAAGTTCAAAATTTCAAATGATTTTGACAAGAAACAAGAAAGATATTGAGACTTTAGTTTCAGCCAATCAGAGCGAAGCGCACGTGCATGCGCGTGAGATCTTCCCATATTGACCGAGTCATCTTGTTTATACTACTAATATATCCTTACATTATGAGTTTCAAAACATTTCATCAAAAAATAGAAAAGTTACGGCTCTTGCAAGCACGTGCGCGCAAAATGACCTTCGTTTGGCAACTCTACATAACATGCCTACTGACCCTAAAAAGGTTTCACCTAAGTCGGATGTATAGTTTACAAGATCACTCGTGGACAAAATTTTCCCAGGAAGAAGAAAAATAATAATAATAATAATAATAATAATAACTAGTGCTAATTGTAACGGGAACCGTTACAGATGTTCCCCAAACGCTCCCCAACTCCCTTTTGGTGCCATATTCCCTGTAAGCCTTATTAAATAAGACAACATCTGTGCATTTTTGACTTTAACAACGTTTTCCCAAAAGGATACTAATTATATTCAAATTTTAACATTGCACGCGTGCCCATGTGAATGCACGTGCATAATGATCATATAATCTTGTCTACACTTTCTATATATTAAAATATACTTTATATGAAAGTATTTAGTCCAAAAGTATTAAAAATCACTCATTCAAGTGTATTTTCAATTTCACTCGTTCCAAATGCACGCACGTGCGTGCACGTGCATGATGACCATACCTTCTTGTAGGAGG